GTTTACTATTTACTAGATCACCGTTCTCCCCAGTTTTTGCCAATCTGTTCATAACAGACAGGACGACGCCTCTAGGTTATCAAGTATTTGGGAACCTGCACTGAGAGAAACTCAAGTGTTAACATCAGAAGACAGGCTGAGATCTCAACTAACAATCAAGGGTGCTGGGATGCCTACCAGAATCCTTTCCTCTCTACAGCAGACAGATAATAATAGAGAACCTGAGAAAGCTAGGCCTGTAACATGTAGCCAAACAGCCAGGATGAGGAAGCAGGAAGAAAAACTGCTGCCTTCCAATCAGGACACAGAGTTACAGGCTAACCAGCATACGTCAGCAGCAGCGAATATAGAAAAACGACAGCTCCGACCTCACAACACACCCATAGCTTCTAAACTAAATAAGAGCCTGAAGATAACAGGGTTGTGAGCCTGTCAAAACGTTGCTATAAAGAAAAACTTTTAAGGTACTGGTAGGATTTTAGCTAAGGTTTTAAAGGACCTTGCAGAGTGCTCTGTAAGGATTTTTGGAAGATTTTAAGCTAGGGTTTTAACCAGAATTTTAAACATTTTAACTAACCTATTTAACATGACGTGGGAAAACAGCCAAGATTGTAATTTTTTGCATATATATATATATACACACACACATATATATATATAGTATAGTATATATAACATAATAGTATTACTATAACATAAAATGCATATGATAACAAAACACTTTATACTAATTTGAATGTTAAAAAGGAAAGGCCAATCTCTTGCTCCTGTGTTCTTATTCTGGAAGAAAAATTAAACATCCCAGTCTCCCACATATACATTTTTGAAACATGTATAGTCAGGCTGTGGATGTTTATACTTGAGTAAAAAGCAGTATGATGCAAACATTAGAAGTCATATAGTCATATACTTTTGGCTAGAATAGGGATTGGACATCTTCAGATCGCCAAGTCTACTCTTTTGATCCTACCTCTTCCTTGAAATGGTTCTTCCATGGCTGCCTTTAAGTGGCATGTAGTCCATGTAGTTCTTTTCCTTATGAAAGGGAAGGATACTAAGAGCCCCACATTCAGTCTCATTCAGATACCTCAGCCACAAAAGCTACCTTCTGCCAGTTTTCTAGTATATCCCAATCCCCAATATTGTCTCGCTTATGCAGTCAGCTGGGGTCCAGATCAGTGCCCTTGACCAAAAAACAAAACCCCACTATCCCACCTGGTATATGCATTGATCCCTTGACATTAGATATAATGCTGCCCGTGGAAATTTTCTAGATATTCATTCCTTCTCACTCTCCCTGGCAACTTCTACTTTTTGACGGCTGAGAGGATTTCTTTTCCTTTTAGTGCTTAGAAGCACACAGCAACTGTTTAGAGATGAAAGGCCATTAGGAAGTATACTTATGTGACCTAAGAAAAAGAGAAAGAATAGCTTGGAGGTTCTGTTTTTCAATGGAACTGTGAAAATTGGTTCAAAAGTAAGAAATAGCTTTCTACTTAAAATTACTGATTTGGAGAGCAAAGTTAGCTAGCAGTTTACTATTCCTGTTGCAGTTGACTAATGCTGCTAGATACTTGTTCTTTCTTTAAAAAATAAGAATTGATAGTAAGGAAAGACAATGGATCACATTGACTAATTTGAGTCTGCTAAATTGGAACCAGAGGCTATTATTTTGCTAATTCAGTAATGTTTCAAGCTGAGTTGTTCGAAAAGAAACCGGTGTTTTTTTCTAATCCTTTTTGAGAGATTCTCAAAATTATTTTGTTCACTGTCAACATTAATATATTAAAAATAAAGATTTTAACAGTTTATTTGAGAAAATGTTATTGTACCATAAATACATGCATAACCCATTATTTTGTAACATGCTTTTCTTCAGAGTCATCATCATCATTAAAACCAATGATATATTGTGATAATAAAGCACTATTGGTCAGAGTCTTATTAATCTCTGTTCAGTCATCTGATCTTCATTTTATAAGTTTACAACGATAGACTCTTTATTATCCTAAAATTTCATTATGGACCACTTGTCTTGAACTCCCAAACCATTTGAAAGTTTCCATTGTACACATTATGGCAGTTCTCTTTAGCTAAAGTTAAATACGTTATAATGTAGAGATTCCAGGTTTGCTCTTATTCACGATCCCATACTGTACAGTACATTGAGAAAAATTCATATGTAATTGTCCATCACATCCTTGAAAAGGAAAAAGTTTTACTTTTGAGGCATGCTACAAAATCCTAGTAGGTCAGAATGTGTGAATATATATATAGGTCACTTATGGCCTGATAAATATGTCTTTAATAAGTGTGGAATACAGCTTTTCTTATACACTATTCAGTAACTTGATTGATTCATATGAATCATGGGTTGATTTTTGTATTTTAATGGGTATCTGGAGTCACTTAATGCTCAATTATCAGTTAATGCAAGGACAAGGACTATTTCTTCTTTTAAATTGGACGTAATTTTATTATATTCTCCATAAATGTTGAGCTTTGGAGCCAGTGGCACTATTAGTCCAGATTTTAATGTAGTGCACTGAAAGACAAAAACAAAAGAAGTCAAATTAGAAACATAAATAGCTTTTATAATCACCCACTGTGGTATCTTTTCTTTTTAATTCATCATCAGAGTCAACAATATGTAAGGCATTAACTACAAAATCATTAAAAACAATATAAAAGTATTTGTAAATGATGCCTGATTGTGATATACAACACTTCCAAGTAAAATGCAGAACTATAATTTATGTTTTCATTTCAAACATTTTATCATAGCCTTTTTCAAGCTAAAGGATAGAAGATACAGTGCTTTTTAAAAAGCCCAATAGTTCCTTTGGGATCATGCCAGTGGTGGGTTGCCCCAGGTTCAGACCGGTTCGCAAGAAACAGTAGTAAAACCGGTGGGAGGCTCCGCCCACTGACCCGGACGTCATCAAAGTTGATCTGTGCATGCGTGTGGGCACGATGCGAACCAGTAGTAAAGGTAAGTAGAACCCACCCCTGTATCATGCCCAGGAAATTAAAGGTGAAATTCTGTAAGTTAAATGACCCATTGTTATTCATAAATATGTTATCATGTTATGTTGATAACAGGTTATGTTATCAACATGTTATTGAAATATTTTTTTCAACAATATTTTTAATGGAATAAGCAAGTAATTCACAACTAGCTTCCCAGGTATAAGTAAAATGGTATCATGGAAAGGCAGCAGAGATTACACCCATTATAAGTAATCTTAGCAAGAATTTTCTTTGATAGATAAGAGATTGATATAATTGCTGAAGTTGAGCAGATTTTCTTTTATACAGATCAATCATTTTGGATGAAAAGATTAGAAAGTCAGGTGCAAAACAAAAGTCTAAGCCTGTTTCTCTCATATTTACATAATTTCACATAGAGAAGCATTGAAGTATGAAGTATAAAATAAATGTGTTGAATTCCATAAAAAATGAATTAACACTCATGCTCCATCCCAGCTATAAAGTGCTTAAGATTTTATGAAATACATGTGCCTTATGACAAGAAAAAAGGAATATTGATTTGCTGAATAGGAAGAAGATTCAAGAAGACTATTACAAGCTATTTGCTCATTTTATGCAAAATGGTTCAGAAAAACTGCATCTTCAGTGGTGTTCAGGACTAGCATGCAGGTTTCTATGGTATATCATTTGAAGGCATCATCGATGAAAATAATACACCCAACTACTTTGTTCTATATAGTATATAACCTGACTGGATTGCACCTATTTTCTAATAACATTTCTGCTCAGAGTTTTGGACTTCATAAATTCCCAGTGTTGCTTGAGACTTGTTAATGGTGGCATATTAGAGTTAGACCAAGAAGCAATAGCTTAAATTTTACACCATGCAAGGTGAGATGGGCTACAAATAAAAGTAACAAATACATAAATAAAATACCAAGCAATAATTTTCATCTTATCTTACTTATTGAACAATTCCTGCACCAGGTATTGGTGTATTTGGACTAATACATATGCCATAATAACGGAAGAAAAATCTTCTCCTGTTATCTCCTAGATCAACACTCAATATTTCTGCTAAAGTCTCATATACAGAGATTGAAAAAATTCTGCCCAAGACTCCAGGGAAGTACAGTTAATTACTGATTGAATAATCCAATTATCCAATTTATAGAAACAGCCAGGAACTACAGAGCTTTCATTTTATTAGCAATCCTATTAGGAGAATACTTCATCATCATCACCATCATCATCAATTTAGTACTGCTCCACAATCAGAAAAGGAGGAAAAGAAGAAATGGAAGCAAAGAAAATGAATATTCAATGATAGAAAATCTGAGAATGTTACACATAGGATACTTGCTGGTATTGTTAATGAATCCACTACTCATGTGGAATAATATTGGCGACTATCACCTTAGTCACTACTCACTAGGAGAAGGAGGAGGAGGAGGAGGAGGAGGAGGAGGAAGAAGAAGAAGAAGAAGAAGAAGAAGAAGGAGAAGGAGAAGGAGAAGGAGAAGGAGAAGGAGAAGGAGAAGGAGAAGGAGAAGGAGAAGGAGAAGGAGAAGGAGAAGAAGAAGAAGAAGAAGAAGAAGAAGAAGAAGAAGAAGAAGAAGTTCTAGATGTTTTATGCTATTCTTCTGTTACAATGACGATGAACATTGAAGATATTGGTTCACAGAAGTACTCTATTTTTCCATCATTCTAAGTTCACAATAGACATTTTTAGAAATTTGTTTTATTTGATTGATTTGTATAGCTTATAAATAAATCAAAGTACAGCTGAAATAAACCCTCCAGCAAAGGCAAAAAAACATATCTAGCATAGTCTATAAAATTAGACCACAATATACTATTTCCCTTTTTTTTATGTTAATGATAACTCTCCATGTCTGATGTTTTATACATTACATTATTATTATATATTTATGCATTGCTATGATTACATGGCCTAAATAGAATCAGCTGTACATATGTATGGAAATAGACCTTAACAGATTTCACAGATATTTAAAGCCGATCCTCACCCATGCTGGCCCACCACTTACTACCACTTTACCAGAATGGTGTAATCCTGTAGCCAGGTTGCTGACTAGCCCTCGAGCCTATGAGGTAAGTATACAATTTCACGTGCACAATTTTTCAATATCTTTGGCAGGATGTATTATATAGCTTTCACTATATGTGATGTTGACACCTGGAGTTTTGTCATCCAATTAATATAACATGGGATCTTTCCTCTGTCATCCTCTAGACCAGTGGTCCCCAACCCCCGGTCCGCAGACCGGTGCCGGGCCGTGGAGTACCTGGCACCGGACCGCGCAGCGGCCGGGGGACATGAACGCTGCAGCGCAAAGGCTCCTGGGCTGTGCGCAAAAGCTCCTGGGCCGTGCGCAATGGGCCGTGAGCAAAAGCTCCTGGGCCGTGCCCCCACCCCTGCGCGCGCTCAGCGGGCCGCGGCAATAAAAAGGTTGGGGACCACTGCTCTAGACTAAAAAATTTAGTTCTGATTCTGGATCTTCTGGTCATCTTGCATGACAAAACTGATATTTTCAAACTGAATTAAAGGGACATTCAGAATGGAAATATGTTATGACACATATAAACTAACTCTATTTAATTATTTTATGATTAAAGTCTCCTTCAGGTCAAGTTCAAGTTATCAAGCTATGATAACTTTTAAAATACTGGTTTGAACTCTAGGCTTTTTCAGTAGCATACCATTTTAAAAATAATGTGAAAAACAGTTGACACCCATGGAGATGAATGTTCAGTGTAGTAGAAAAGCTTGCAACCAGCACCATCTTGTTCCCATCAGCTGCTTTTAGAGCTGTTTTTAAACATGGGTTAAAATTCTTTTGAAAATCAAGGTTGGCAGAAGAATTTAGTATGAGTCTTTACCTGCCAAGCCTTAAACCATATCTGATTTGTGGAGTAAGTTTTTGTAAAGTAGAAACCATCCTTGCCCAACCTAGGCAATCTTGCAGGTCATCAGCTGGGGAGGGCTTCCCAGTGAAGTAGGGTATTCCTAATTTATGGAATCTTCTTTCTCCCGCTACAGCAATCAGGACAGCCCCAACAACCTCACACTCTTACTAGTTTGAATTAGCCATAATATTATATCTTGTACTCAGAATGTAATATATATTTAAGTGAGAAGTGTATTTTTTTTACCAGTATGTATATAGAGTTCCTGGATTTAAATCTTCCCTATGTACTTCAATAAGAAAAGTAGCTTGATTTGCATATATCCCAGGGGTGAAATTTACTTACCTTCCCTACTGGTTTGCCAATGTGAATGCACCATCATCTGTGCAATGCACAAAACCTTCTGCACATGCCCAGAGGCTTAAAATGTCGCAAAAAAACAATGTCATAATGTCCGCATGGGTGGGCAGAGTTTCCCGCAACTGCCGCTACCGGTTCACCCAAGCCAGATAGAACCGGCTAGATTTCACCCCTGATATATTCCCAACCATTGGAGATTTAGCATTGCAAAATGATTAGTTAGATCCCTTTTATGCAAGAGTCGCCCTTTTACTTCTTCAATAGGGCCAACATTTTTCAGTCAACAACCATATTATCCCCAGAATAATCTCTGGAAAGCACATATTGAATGGCCCAGTGTTGGGTTGCTACCTGTTTGCCCCAGTTCGGGCGAAACGGTAGCGGCAGCAGGAGGTTCTGGCCACCCGCCTGGACATCATCAAATACGGTCTGCACATGCGCAGAAGCTTCTGCGCATGTGCAGATGTGGCACCAGCTAACCGGTAGCAAAGGAAAGTGAAATCCACCCCTGGAATGGGCCAATATATGTAACAGAGATGGCCCAAGCCAAACTAAATTTTGTCACATTGACACCTCTTTCTTTTTCTCTGTCTTTCCATCTTATTAGCTATCTTTATCTGACAGTATTTCTCTAACTTTCTCTTTTCCAAACAGTACATTATGTGGAAGGAACATAAAGTTTTTAGCAGACAAGTAATCTTACCGAGATCTTTTCAAATTGGACTCAAAGATGGAATCTCTGATTTCTACACACCTCTGATCGGTATAGACAGACACATGTGTACTCAGCGACAAGAAGGTCCTAGCTTCAGCAGACAATTTATACAAAATTGTCACTTGATAGTGAAATACATGCAATATAAATTTAGTAAATAAAAATTCATGTATATGAAGTAAATATTAATTAGTTTTTAAATAACATTAAAATTCTATGTGTTGTTATAAACTTAAGATATCTATTTAATCTAGTGAATGGTTTCACATTTGTGCCATTAATAAGCAAACATTATTTCTTTGGTTTCTCTATTCTTTATCACAAAAACGCCTAGGAGCAATTGAAGGATGAGGATGGGGACTTTATTGTCAATAATGATGAACTGACCCTGAATTATGATGCTTCAGACCACTTTCCTGTGCCAACCCAGAACAGAACAGAGTCATCTCATCCTGCTGGCAAAGAAAACATCAATGATGGTGATCTTGGCTTAGGAGGATACGAGTTCCACTCCGAACCTGTTTCAGGTCAATCTGAGTTTGCTTCCTCAGCCTGATATCCATTAGAAAATATATACTACAAATATCAGGAGCGGGAGAAAAGTACATTTATTTTTCAACATTAGCAAGAAGGACATAAACAGAAAAGAAGCAAGACCTTGCTGAATCTCGCCCTAGAGTTCGGAAGAATGAAAATTTTTAATAAGTCATAAACATTCTATTACTACACTTAATTTTTCTGATAGTGGTCATTTTAACAATGAAGGCATCACCTGTCTATTATTGGGACTGCATATACTGTATACATGTGGGCTGGATCATGCTTTTTGCACATGCACAAAACCTTTTGAATATTTTTTTTCCTAATTATTCAGGAAGACAGACAATGAGAATTTAGTGAACATGCCTCCAAAATCACAGATCTATCAGTATTGTTTCTCTCTTCCCATGTAGAGCCTTTTGCAATAATTTGCCCTGATTTGCCATGATTCCAGCAAGTAGCAAAATAATATTTTCCCCTACTGTAGGGTAGTCTGACAGCAAGCGGTGCACCAGACCTGCTTGTTAATATTTGAGCTGCTGAAATTTAAACATATCAATAACAGAAACCCTACTAGAGCATGATTGTTAGTACAAATAGCAATTTTATTCCCTCCTACCAATCCATTTGCTGCCACTCCTATGAAACACATCATAATGCAAATACTAGGTGTTGACTTTCCTCAGCTGTTCTGATATTTTGTGCTTATACCTAGAATCTGGCAGGACAGAGAACATGAGTATCACGTTCAAGACTTCTAAAATAATGTCTGCTGTATTTCTGCTCATTTTCTATACAGTAAGAAATGAGAGAGAGAGAATTACATGGTATGTTTACACGGAGGGAAAATGTCAGCTGAATCATCCATTATAAACACAAGTACTTAAAGTATCAGGAAAGTTGATGACAGCCTTCCAATTTTTTTCCCCTGAAGGCAATGCTCTGTATCTTTATATATTAGAGACTGACCTCTTGAAGAGCTCTGGTATGGACAGAATCTCCTGGTTGCACTTGCAATCCTTTCGTATCCAAATATAGTTAGCCCTTTACTCTAGTTGCTTCTTTAACTGCCAGGAGCTTTTCAGTGTTTTAGTCCTGCCTGGAAACTAATTGAAAGTGAAATACTTTGCATGTAATGTATATTTTATTTCTAAGTTACTGCCTTCTGCAGCCATCCATGACCATACCACATTTCTATCTTAATGCTCAGTATAGTGTTGCACTTAGCATATATTCTGGGTTATTTAGCTATCCTCATGCGTCTGATGGGGAAAAATTACTTTTAAATGTTTGCAATTCCAGTAAATGCTCATGGGTAGATGAGATGGGATTCTTGCATGTATTTTAGTGATGCGATGGTGGAAATGAAGGTGTGAGAATTCTTATTTTTCCTTCCATACTTATCTCTCCAACAAGAACTTTTTCAGATTAATAAGCATGAGCAGCCAAGGAAGCTATAAAATGATAAGAGATGTCTACCAGAAAGCTACACCATCAACCATTTCATAACAATAAATTAAGCTCAAAAAACTGCCTAAAGAATTCCAACCTATACATAGAATGAAATGGAAAAGCAAACGTCACCTTGACAGAAAAAGAAATCTTTCTGATTATTGACAAACCAATTTTGACACAGTATTAACTCAGTATCTGCTAAAATAGAAAATGGTTGCAGAATTACAGAAGGTCTGTAGAAAAATTTAGGAAGAACTGCTGGTCAGTGCATCAAGGTTTCCATTGTTTCACCTGGGAGCATGTGATTTGTTGCCATCCAAGATCTACTACTATTTCTGCCCTTCCACTTAAAAAGAAAGTGTATAACAGTAATACATAAGTTCAAGTATTGCACTGTTCTGATATTTTGGTTCATATAGCATATTTATTCAGATTCTTCAAAACTCATGTTTCAAATAGATTTTATGAAACCAGAAGCCAAGAGTTGAGAAATGCCAAGAATCCATGTAAGTTATGGCCTTCATCTTTCATACTGTATGTCACCTGTAAGATTTTTGATCATATACATGACTTTAGTAAGATGAGGACAATTGCCGCTTTGCAATTATATTTTGAGTATTTTAATGTGAAATATTTTTAGGCTAAAAGGTATGATTAGAACTGTAGTGGATCATGTGCATCAACATTGCTGCTTCCTAACAATTTCTCATAAATTATGAGAAATTGTTTCTCCTTTTATTCAATATCAGCACATGGATTCTTCAGCACTTATACACCAACTGGCATGAAGCATTTGACAGTCTGGTATTGAATACCACAAATACATGCCAAAGAGGTATGTATTTACATATCCGTCTCCATGGAAACCACCTTGTCCACTGTCACATATCTAGAAGGTAGAAAAAGGCAATGTTATAGCAAACAGGGTTTAAAATCTCATAGGACTGCACACTTAAATGGTGCACCTGCATTCTAGTATAGAATATGACATGTCTAGCTTTTGGATAAATTGCCTAAATATTGTGTGTAGTTTTTGCACTTGAAATTAATGACTAAAACACATAAGATTCCCTCCCTAAGATAGTCTCTAGCTCAGTGTTTCTCAACTTTAGCGACTTTAAGATGTGTGGACTTCAACTGCCAGAATCCCCCAGCCAGCATGCTAGCTGAGGAACTCTGGGAATTGAAGTCCACATATCTTATGGATGCCAAGACTGAGAAACATTGAGATAGCTAATACTTAATAATAGTGATCTCACATACTTTTTAGCCTATGCCAAAAAATAGCAATTGAAATCTGTGAACTGAAGGATAAATAACTATAGTTGCATCTTTTCAACTATCTGGCCTCCTGTTATTTCAGCTTGTCTACTGAAGGTTAAAATAGTGAGGATATGAATTCAAGCAGAAATTCGGCATGTTCAACTAGCAAACTCATCTATAGTTTTTCACATTTTGAATGGTATATTTTGGCAAATTCAATATCACGAAGTTCATTACAGACCAGTTTACATGCAGGATATTTATAGGATACAAAGAATGTCCTTGTCACATGTTTAACCCTCACATTGCATAATGCATTTCCACAGAGACGCTATCTCATCTCAGGAATGCAGCATGAAGTTCCTTATTAAGCAGCTGTGAAAAAGTTATTGTTTCATATGCCAAGTTGAAGTTTATGGAACCAAAGCTCCCAACTTTAGAAATAACCAGTAGGACTACATGCCAGGACTTCTTAGTAAAACAGTGAATGATTGTAAATGTAATAAATTTTGATTCCATCATCAATGAAAATGGCAACAAAAACGTATATGTAATCAAGTTTTAACCCTGTTTTTTCACTGTCTGTACTGTCACATTTAATCAATCGCCAGTTGAATGTGATACTACAGCAATCATGTTAATCATAAATTGAAAGCAAGAATCCTAAGATAAAAAACTGACATGTTTTATTTAATTTTCTTTCAAAAACATGAATCAGACACTTTTAAAGGAACTTACTTCCTACAAGGAAAAATATATTTTTACTATTCTGATAATTAATCCTAATGAAAAAGTCAGTTCTATATTTATCATTTTCTGGGCTATACCTGGCTGTTTCAGCAGAAACAGCAAGAAAAGAAATGAACAATTGACATATCAGAATACTTATGGGATTTAGGGCCACAAGAATAAGGAGAGACTGCTTGCTGGGTGCTTCAGGAAAGGAAGGAATGTTTATATAAATAAATTTATATATATAAATAATGAACATATGAACTATCTTACTAAAAAACTACAGGTCCATACAGAATTCCTTTAAAATGTACAATTAAAAGGTCAAACATACCTCAATACAGGAATTGTATATCTCAGTATAAGAATTAAGAATGATTGGATTATGTTTTGCTGTGTATAAATTCTGTAAACATTGTGCAAAGAGCATTGAGTTAGATACAGTTTATGGATAACTCCTAATCAAAAGAGAAATATATTAGGCTGAAATGTTCCAAATTTTGTTAACTTTGATGTACTGTAATTAAGTGAACAGAATGAAATGGTATTTTCTGGCCCAGGATTTTCTATCTTCATCTCAAATAAATTTTGCATAGCTCCTCACTCGGGAACTCAATTTTTAACAAGAACAAAAAGCACAAACTCAATTTCTGTCCTAATTCCCATTACACTACTTGACTTTCCCCTTTCCCATCCATAATAACCAGAATAACATTAAGAGGCATTATTTGGATAGATGAAGAAAGAGAAAGAGCGAGAGAGAGAGATCTTAATATCAGCCCAAATCAATCTACTGTTGGATAAATGACTCATTCCTAAAGCTTCTGCATTATAATCTTTCACACCTGGTTCAGTGGAGATGCTTTTCAACTTTGCAATCTAGGGCTGAGAGACAACAACTGGCTCAAAGCCACTCAGATGGTTTCCATCTCTAAGGAAGGACCTTTATCTGGGTCTCCTACTCTGTATCCAACATCTTAATCACTACACTGCACAGGGTTGTTGTTTTTTAATTTTCTCCCTGTACCAATGTACATATACAAGAAAAGATTAGAAAACCATTTGTCTGAGATGGTTTAAATACTCCTTGGGCAGTGGGTTGGATTAGAAGACCTCAAAGGTCACCTCCTACCCTATGATTCTTATTATTCTAAAATCCTAACATTTTTCAGGTTTCTATACAAGTTTGAAAAAAGGTGGAACTGCTCTAAGAGTTGCACTAACTTTAATGATTGGATTTCTTAAAAGTGCAACATTTTTGGGTGGAAGCCTGAAAAATGTCAGATTTTTTTAAAAAAATAGAGAAATGTTGCATTAGTACAAAATCCAACTCCTTTTTAAAATTAGTTTTGAAGCATATAGAGCTATATTTGACAAGCCTTTGCTGTTATTACAATCTGTGAATTCTGCAGATAATTATCAGAAAGCTAATAATGTCATTATTATCAGAAAGCTAATAATGAAAGCTAATCTTGGGAAGAAAAGATGATAATTATATAGGTAAAGCATCACATGACTAGATTTACCCCTCCACCACCCACTCATGGGTTTTCATATACTTATTGCCAAATACCTAGAATAGAATTACAATAGCATGAAGGATTTCTTGCAATTGTTAAAGAAAGTTAATACTCATGGCACACGAGACACCAACCATAGAAGAAGAATCCCTCTATTGAAGTATCTTGAGGAAATTAGACTGGAATTATACTGGAAAATCCTACCTTGCAAGGGATAAGATAGTTGACAGCTATTGTCTGCTCTGAATTTTTTTAGACAGTGGAAATCTATCCATCATATGCAACCAGAACATTTTCAACATAAAATATGAAATTAAGATCTTCTCTGTAATGGCACTTTCTTATGACATTTCACAAAACATAAGGAAAATCAAAGTTCAAATAGCAGTTGCACACATGAACTATAATACAAATATCTGGGGTGGTTTTAGGGATACCAGATCACAGAGAAGATGGCTCAACAGCAACCATCTCAACTATTTCCTTAAGCACATCTTCAACCAGAGAACCTTCCACCGAGTTATCTGTAGAACAGAACCTCGGAAAACCTGCAACAACTCATGGATAACAGCAGCCAGTTTTTACCTATTCTCTGAAATCTCACATAAATTAATGAATTCTTTTCTCCTAAGAAAAATAAGTACAAGTAGCTAAGAAGGTTTAGGACGTTCCATATTTTAAAACATAGGCTGGGATAGGATGGCTGCAAATCATAATCCAAAATTTTCCAATTGATACTAATAATTGTTATGAATAATGGCTACATAATTAAAATATCAGCACAAGCTAGAGGGAGCAGTCTAGGGATGAAATTATATGACTAGTGGACCATAATGGATGAATTTTTCTTTATTAAATTATTACAGAATTAGTCATTTCAATAGTAGGAATCTATAGTAACTTCCAGCTGTCACTACAGCAATATATCACCAATGAGGACAGCTTTCCCATGGCCATACCAAATAGTCTAGTAACATCTTAAGATCTATAAATCACCAGTGGGGAAATGGACATTACAGATCAGTTTTCCGCAATTAGATGGTTCCAGATATGTTAGGCTACAGCTTCTAAAATCATTCCAGATAGTTTAAAGAAAGATGTTCATGGATCATAATTTTGATTTCAGATCTCAGTGCAGCACAGCAACTTAAGTTTGAGCCGGAAGTAAAAATAAATGCTTTCAATGTCCTTGTGAGTGATTCCAGTTTTTTTCTCTCTGTGCCTAGTGGCCATTTATGCACCATTTTCCATGTACCCAACCCATACAGATTTCCAGTCGGAAACCGCAAGACCAATGAAAGGATTGTAATCTTCGACTTACAATCATTCATTCAGTGACATTCTAAGTTACAATAGCACTAAAGAAAGTAACTTATGACCATTTTTCACATTTACAACTGTTGCAGCATCCTAAGATCATGTGATCAAAATTTGGAGGCTTAGCAGCTGTTTCACATTTATGATGGCTGCAGTGTCCAGGGGTCATGTGATCACCTTTTGTGACCTTCTAATAAGCAAAGCCAATAGAGAAGCAAGATTCACTTAACAACCATGTTACTAACAACTGCAGTGATTCACTTAACAACTGCAGCAAGAAAGGTCATAAAATGTGGCAAAACTTACTCAACAAATGATATCTTGCTGAGCAATATAAATTATGGACTCAACTGAGGACTACCTGTAGGCCTTTTCCTCAGTTTTGTCACTCCACATAATCACAAAGTGGAGCATGCAACAGCAGAGCATAAGGATCTTGGGGGTTAGCAGTGAATTTCTCTTTGGAGGTATAAACCCAGTGAAACCTCGAAAACCTGTTTAAATCTTATCATTTTAAAGCAGTTTGGGGGAAAATGTGAATCCTTCTTATGAAGATTCCTGATACTGTATATGCATTGTCTGCAAACCAGAACTTTCACTTGGTACTCTTATCTTGTAAAACATTCTAATTAGTTTTATTGCAAAGCAATCATAAGATGCCCTGAAGGGTTCCATCATGTAGGCCCTTTATTATTCTTTTATTAGCTATTTAAAAATATTTAATAAAGGCTGCAACAGAAGGCAAAGCTGACTTTCATGTTTAGCAGATAATCCCTATTTTTGCAGCTGACGTTTAGAGTCTTTCAAAATGCTAGCCTGAAGCCAAAGCAGGTTTGATATTTATGTCCTGAAGTGATGCACATCAGGAGAAATTCTAAGTGGTCATGTAGATTTCTGATAACCGAAACATTTTCCTCCTATGGAGAAATCTTCCTAGTAAATACAGACTTGCCAGCAAAAGAGACATCATCACCACTTCCACCAAAAAAGGGGTAGAGAAGGGTCAGGACACGGGTGTAGCTGAAGTCTTGTCCAATAAGCTTACAGTACTGGTCAGCACCCAAATACTAATTAATTTCCACAGATAATCCATTAGTGCTCCAACAAAATAAGCACCTCTTCTGAGTTTATAGAAATTTGGATTCAGAACAGATTCAGTTGATGTAACTGCTTTGCTACATAAGATTTGCTGGATTGTGTTTTTGTCATTTCTCAGTAATAAATATACTACTGCAAAAGCACTGCTCATGATTTGGTGTTTAGTTGTTGGTGAGAGTGAGATTCAGAGATGAATCCTTATATTCATCTGTCCCTAGGCACTGCCATCTGTGCAACTGTGTCATGGAACTTATGCTAAGCCAGGATTTATTAAATAAAGTTAACATGCTAAGCCAAAAGCAAACAAACCATATTATTGGGAGCAACTTAGAGAGAAGTCTCACACACACACACACATAATCAAAGCTGGTAGTGTTGCACAGGCAAACAAGGGTGCTGTCAAAATTTATTTTCACTTTGCCTGAGTAAGTTTATAGTGAACCTACCCAAGCAAAGCTTAGAGCAATATTTCTCAATCTCAGCAACTTTAAGAAATGTGGAATTCGGTTCCGAAAATCCCCCAGCCAATATTGGGAGTTGAAGTCCATATATCTTAAAGTTACTGAGAAAATGAAGGATAATGTAGAAATTTATGAAACCATTTTCCTACAATATGTCTATCAGCTGTGGCCTGGCCAGAAGCCATGGCTTCAGGAAATAGGTTTGAATACTATATATGCTTGCTGAGTTTAATAATGCAGAAAAACCTATGCTATGATCATATGGACTTTTAGGATGCTACTTATCCATCTTATGCTATAGGCAAAAATATACAGACAATGTGCATTGAGACAACTTCTCCAATCAAGGCTAGGAGAAACAAGCTTGACTGAGTCTCAGAAATCCAATAATTATAACCTTACCAAAAGACTCCCACCACTGTAGAGTATATTCTGTTGCCCGAGTTATAGCACACTACCCCTCTGTAACACTTGAACATGATGTAACAATGCACATGATCAGATAATAATGATAATAATTAATCTGCTATACCCAGAGGAAAAATTAACCCTTTTCAGATGTACAGAATATGTTGACTCAAAGGAAATACTAAGAAGGTTTTTTTCTACTTAATCTATCAGTAAGTTAGAAGAAAGTGGAAGTACAAAAGGATACATATATTCTAAATGTCACAGGTTTGACTTAAGATGGTATCAAACTCAGGCAGGCAGAATGACAATTGCTATACACTGGGCAATTAATTGGCAGACTGGTGGCACAATCTTTCTCTAAACTGCTTTTCTCTCTTTTGCCTGTTAAATATTGGGTCCCTGTAGCTACTCTGTGAACTTGATTCATAAGGAAAGTCCAGACTTGAGGCAAGCAAACAAATATATCCATGTTCATCGTCAGGTAGATCATAATTGATGTTTTTAAAGGCAGAAGTTTCCAGAAATAGTTAAACTCATGGTATAATGACTGTCAGAATCAACCACCAATCACTGCAGTTATTTTTATGTATTATTTAATAATACAGTTATTTAATTCTATTCATGAAGGACCATACAAATTCATTTATTCATAGTGTCGCATAGTTTGAAAATCCCTGATTTAATGCAATGTGTAAAACCAGCCAATGAGAACAAATATGTTCTGTGCCCCAAGCCTTATTGCTTGTTTATATACTAGTTAACCTAAGTCTCCTCTAAGGATTGATTGATGGCTAAT